CTTATCAAGGCATTCAGAGCAAAGTTGATACTTCTGGAAAGCCAAGTGAAAAATTGTAACTTTGTTCATATGCTTTACTGTGCAGAGTTGCATAAAAAGGGTGAAGCAGAATTTCCTTCCTCATTTGCAAATTTAGTCATTTCAGATTTGAAAGAACAATTTCGGAAGCGAGATGCTGATTTGGATGCCAGTGCTCAGGAAATTAGATTGTTTCAAAATCCATTTGACTGTGATGCTGCAGATGTCCCAAGTCAAATTCAAATGGAAATTATTGAACTTCAGGAAAATTAACATATATTAAAGACATATACAGGGAAAGAAATTTTATTGAATTTTATAAATTTCTGAACTCTGAGCAATTTCCAAATTTAAAGAAATTTGCTTCTAGATTTGTCTCCATTTTTGGGGTGACATATCTGTGTGAACAAACTTTTTGCCACATTAAGTACACCAAGTCGAAATACAAGGCAAACTTATCCGATGAACTTTTAAAGTCGCTACTTGTGATTTGCATTTCAAAATTTGAACCTCAATTTAATCAGATTTTAAGAATGCAAAAAGAGTTCCATTATTCACATTAATTGTTTTATTATAATTTGTGATGAAAATATGAGCATTTGCTGCTACTGTCTGTTGTCATTAATATACGATAATTTATTCTCACATACTTTGTATTTAGTTTATGAAATTCTGTGCTTTCAATAAAACTCATATACCTGGAGTTATTAATTTCTCATTTTATCCGGCCTGTTGAAAGTGCTGAATTACCTAATGTGGCCCACGGTTCAAAAAGTTTGGAGACCCCTGCTCTAAAGGTGAGGACTAGCTCAATCAGTTGGGCCCAGCAGAGTGGTCTTTTAGCAGAGGTTGGAGGCACAGTCCATTCTCTGAAATATCATTTGAGGTAAAAATCAGGACAGTAAATAATGTTCAGAAAACTGATTGTTGTATTAGTATACCATGGTAACAAACTTTTTGATCTTATTTAAATGTGTCATGATTATCATAGATTTTAGTGTTTGTAAGGTTTTTTATATACCTACATTATATTAAAAATTGTTTTCCAACGTTTCTGTTATGTTTGAAAATAGTGTTTTTATATTTGTAGACATTAACAATTTTATTTCCTGCTTGAGAGGTTGCGACATATTGTTGTGCTCGCCTGTTGGGAGGGCATGAGGGACTCAGAGTAGTTCACTGTGCATGTACAGACTTCTGTGTAGTTGACAGACAGTCTATACACATCACAGTTTCTTTTCACTGTCAGCCCAATCTGCAGT